ATACACAGCTGTCATATTTCTGCACCTGGATAATCGTTTTTCAAGTGCCAAATTGTAGAAGTGCTGGATTTTTGCAGGTCTGGATTTGGGGGTTTCACTGGTAGATATTGAGTTTATTTAACCCTTGGAGGCTATTAGATTTACTTAGCCTTCTCAATGTGGAAATCTGCAACATATTCAGAAACCTACACAGATTTTAAATTGTGAGCACAGGGGAAGGCGAGCTGAGGAGTAGCTCATCCGGGTGTAAACTATCTAACTGTATAATTTTATTTGTTGACATTTCATTAAATTGTGGGAGGGTGTTAAGTGATATGTCTGAGTCATACTGACAAGACATGCAGGGCAATTTGTGTTTTGAGACTGTTTTGCAGGCTAGCAGTAGGAGTCCTGGAGCACTGACGACTTGCTGGCACTGGGCTACAGCTGCCAGAGGACTGGCTGGTGACACATAACCAGCAGTGGTCCTTCCACTTGGCTGCCAGGTTCCCAGACTTTACAGAAAGGAAAGTATATGAAATATATTTTCTATCTATATGGGAAATGGAAGAAACCACGTGACTGTTGTCATAAAATGCAATTTACAGACCATGGATGGGCTGTATGGTAATGCAACTGTCAGCATGCATATAACCTGCAAGACTTACTTGATAGAATCATAGAATCATAGAATCATAGAATATCCTGAGTTGGAAGGGACCCTTAAGGATCATCAAGTCCAACTCTTGACAGCACACAGGTCTACCCAAGTTCAGACCATGTGACTAAGTGCACAGTCCAATCTCTTCTTAAATTCAGTCAGGCTCGGTGCAGTGACCACTTCCCTGGGGAGCCTGTTCCAGTGTGCAACCACTCTCTCTGTGAAGAACCCCCTCCTGATGTCCAGCCTAAACTTCCCCTGCCTCAGCTTAACTCCATTCCCGCGGGTCCTGTCGCTGGTGTTAATGGAGAAAAGGTCTCCTGCCTCTCGACACCCCCTTACGAGGAAGTTGTAGACTGCGATGAGGTCTCCCCTTAGCCTCCTCTTCTCCAGGCTGAACAGGCCCAGTGCCCTCAGCCGTTCCTCGTACGTCTTCCCCTCCAGGCCTTTCACCATCTTCGTAGCCATCTTCGATAGATACATGCTGAGAAGAAATAATCCCTCTTGTACCTTGCCATGCAGTTCAAATTGGGCAGGAAAATGCAAAATGGATCATCAAAAAATTTATAGATTTGTGAATGACCTGGCTTGTTTTGTCCTTTGTAGAAGGCAGGACTCTTCTGTCCCAGGGTACAGTAACCAAAGAGGGAGAGACTGTCATTGCCTCCTAGGAACCTGCATTTATATAAAAATAAGTGGCAGGACAGGACATATACCATCCCATACCTGAGATATACTATTTATTCACCCAGGAGGTTAGCACAGCCTCTTTCGCTGACGGGTTAAGCCAGTTCACTAGCCTGTAAACTTGTGTGTATCATGACTTGTCCCATGTTTGCTTTTGCTGACTTTTCTGCAAGGGACACTTCAAAATAGAATAGACAAAGATTAGGACTCATAAACCTTACAAGTGCTGCTCAACAGCACTTATAGTTTATAGATTATAGTTGCCACTCAAAGCAAAATTGCCAGTATGAGGGGATGTGAAAAAAACATGAAAAGGAGGGAATGATGAGGCAGGATGAGTTGAGAGAGGGGAATCTGGGCAAGGAGGTGTAAATGTATTAATACATGTATTTCATCACATATAGCCTGTAAGTAAAAATGCAAGTAAGGCAGAAGTTTCAGATCTGTAATTCCATTGGGATTTTCATGAATCAGATTCCTGTGGCTTATGGCATTACCTGAATCTTTTGACAGAACTACAACCCTATAATTCACAGCAGGTTGTATTTCATTCATAACATAAATCTGTCAAAAGCTTTCAGTGATACCATAAACTATAACAGCACTGTTCAAAATTAAAAATAAAGACTTTGAAATTGTTTATAATTCGACAAGAAACTGACATCCATTACTTTTCATAATATACGGGGAAAATGAAAACTTGTATTTAGATGTGAGATACACATGTAAACATACATGTCCATTATATTCGTTTGACTGTGGCTGTTATTTATTAAGAGAACATCCTGTGTTAATCAAGATACTTAATTTTTTTGCAGGTCTATATCTGTGCATCTCATTGCACAAATTGTTGCATCTCATCTCTGTATCATGAGATTATGAAGCATATTGAATAAGTATTCATTCCAGCAAAGTAGAATATTTATATTTATCAAACATAAAGGATATCTGTCATCCTAGATGTCATCTAGCAATAAGTAAAAGCAGTAAATAACTGTTCTTGGAATGGGTCAGTGAGTATTTTGTTGTCCCTGAGCCAAATCAATAACAGCTTGTTTGCTGCATCCCTTGTCATCTTCCCTGGAGTCAATGGTCTGCTTTATTGACCTTAATAACTACTATAATAAATCCAGTACAAATGAAAAAAGCTCTGCTCTGTAATGAAAATCTGATAGCTTATCTGTCATGCTGTCCTGTGTAAAGAACTATGTTCATTCTGCCCTGTCCCCCAGGACTCTGGCATTAGATATGCTGTAAGATTATTAACTACCACACAGTTTTATATGAAGTTCATCTTGTAGCTTTTCTATGCAGTGGTATTCCTTCTAATCTCAGATTTTATCTTTAATAAATTGAATCTTGTTTGACTCTGTCCATTATTTTTATGATTTCTTCAGCTGAACAGACTTACCATAGAAAAGATGTAAATGAAAGTAAACTAGGTCTGTGTTGCTCTCCATTTTTGTTGCATATGTTTCAGCCCAGGAAGTAGCTCTGAAGTGCACATTTTCCCTCACTCGATAACTAAAGTACCTAAAGCCATTGATTATGAGAGATCTTTTAAAGCATATTTTGCCTTCAGAATAACTTGGACTCTTGAGTCATTAGTGTTAAGTATGGTGGCACCAGTTTTGTGATGCAAATGCTTAAGGGCTGCTTCAGAATTTCTGTATTAGCAGCATTTTCTTCATTTCACCCTATTTTAGTAGAAAATGGGACCATCTGCTGATCTTATATAAAGTCTGTACTTACCATATAGTAAAAATTTAATGGTGTTTGACTGTCGCTACTTGGGTCACCTATTCATGGCTGCACAGCTCATTCTGATTACCTTCACTGTAGACTGTGGTGTTCCTGACAAAACACAGCTCTCTTAAGAAATACCAGCTGCTTCACAAGCTACATGTGTACGTATGTGCTACTATCAGGAATATTCAGCGCTGACCCTTTGTGGCAGATTTCCAAGGAAAAACCAGATTATATATGGGAGCTGGGTTGCACCTTGTTAAGTGAAAATGCCTCATAAATGCATTATTTTGAAAGATCTGAGAAGCTGAGTACTGCCAGCAGTTGAGTTAAGAAAAAGTTTGCGAATTTGTGTTTCTCCATTGCATGACATCCAAGTTTAAGTTGAGGTAATTAGACATAATGTGCCCTTTTTGACTGCTGTCTTATCATGGTGAGCATAAAGTCCAACTGCAAAAGGTCTCATGAAATTTCTGTATTGTGAGCACTGATGCTGTTCTGTCAGCATTTCAAATTTTGCTACAGAGCAACATATAGATAAGTCTAATGTTGAGGTCAAAGCAATTTGACAATAAACTTTTACAAAATGAAGACAATAATCCCTTTGTTGGCCTGTTTCTCAAGATGAGAATGCTTCAGTCTCCATTCTGTTTCCTGCTGGCATTATTTTTTGGGATATCAATTCTGCCTTTGTGAATTTTTTAGGAATAGTGTAAGACTGGAAGAAGGAAACCTCATGAATGGATCTGATGTAGTTTGGACAAAAGATTGTGGGGGAGGACTACAGAGGAAGAAGTGGTCAGTGCAAGTGTCCTGATCATGCCATCCATTGTATGGTCTGGGTAATTTAAGGTCACTCTGAAAACAAAATCTCCCATTCCCTCAACACCAAAAAGAAACCCATTCTGATGAGAGTTTTAAAGCAGTAGAGACCTTATTAATTACAAAACCCTCTCAATTTGTACAAACTGGGAAGACTTACATTGAATTTATGCTCTTACAGACTAATCCAATCCCTTGCTGTGTCAGCATAGCACTGCACTTTGCAGTGGATCTGCACTGTTACATTGCACAGGTTAGGGAGCAGCTCACAGAGCTAGAATAGGAGCAGAAGAATCCCAGAATACCCACAGGATCCTAGAGTGCAGCTCAAAACCTTCCTCTTCAGGGGAAGAAGCTCCAAGCTGCCATGCAGAAAAAGGGTATGGTTTGAGCAGAAATGGAAAGATTTGCCATATCCATGAAGCCGTGTACTAACAAGCAGTTGCAGACTGAGACTTGAGCAGCACTTTCTTTGCTGAAATTGGAGATACTTTCCCAATTCATGGCTGTTCAGCATGCAGTCTAGCTATTTGAACTTGATTTGTCCCTCATTTACATAGCTGTAAATCTTTGCACATTTCCAATTAGATTGCAGGAGCAATTTCCAATTAGATAAGAATAGCATTAGGTGTATTTCATAGAGTGTTTTCTACTTTACATGCTTATGACACAAAGGATTTGAAAATTAACATTTTAGATTGCTCATACATGTAGATCACTTCAGATTTCTGGGATTTATTACTAAACAGTAGTTAGGTGTTTTAAGGGACATCTTAGGCAAGGTCACTGTCACCCAATCCAAATTCAGTAAAGATTTAAGCACAAGCTCACTTGATGCACCTGAAAGATCATGCCAAACCAGATGTGTAATGTGAAGTGTGTGCCTGTAAACCCCTGCTCTGATTGTCCATTGTTGCATGTGCACAGGACTTCCTGATTTAACAAGAGCTTCAGCCGGTTCCAGAAGTGCACTTACATGGCAGTGGTTTGGAAATCAAGGGTAACTATTAGCAACAATAACAAACAGTTAGAGGCGAATATGGGAGGAATAAGAAAACCCTAAGAGTGCTTGCCCAGGTTCCTAGCTTGTGAGCATCTTGAGGGCTTTTTTTTTTTTTTTTTTTTTTTACTGCATGCATAACTAATCTGCTCAACTATTTGCAAACTATTAACATATTACACTTAAATATTGCAACTTTATTTTTTTTTATAGTTACTTCAACATGTGTCCTTTTAAAATCACTTAGACTATTAAAGGATGATTAAATGTCGCTACATGGCGACATTTAAACTAAAAACTAAAAATATATACTTCTTATGTAGGACTGATTTTGACTTTGAAGCTGGATCACTACCTCGCAAAGGTGAGGCCAAGTACTGGGAAAACATAAAATGACAGTTCTGACTGAAGTGCTCTGACGAGGAGAATCCTTACTGTTCCCATGTGCCAGGTATTTAGTGCAGCATGAAGGCAGAAGAGGCCTTACAAATGCTGTCCCATTGCAGCAGTGCCTGTGTCACACAGTGGAAATGTTAGGATCATTTGGGCTGCTATAAGGTCCCAGAAAACATCAAGCACAGTGGAAGGAGAAGGTGACTTTCAGTAGTTTGAATTATTTATCTCTGTTCCCTAAGGGCAGGTGCTTTCAGAACAGTAATTCTGCCACATGAGTAGTAGGAAAAGTTGAATTTCTAATCCAGCTAAAAAGCTCAAGTATAAACACAGCACTGAGCACGAGATGTTCAGCCCTTTAATATATCTCTTCCCGGGAACAAAACAAAAATAATGGCAGGTGTGTAAAAGTAGTGCAAGAGAAATAACAGGAATTTACGTCAGAGAAAGGATCTGAGAGCAGGCTAGTTCATTGTAAAGAAATTTCCCGGAGTGGTTCCTTGGCTCTGCACCTCTTTCATGTTTAGATGAGATTTGTCTGCATCCATGGCTGGCAAATCCCCTCTTACCCTAGCAGGGTGAAGCGATGACTTGCAAAGCCAGTCCTTGGCCTGACTGGGTGTGAAGAGGAGAGTATTTAAGCGCGGCTGAGCCCCTGGTTGTTCCCTGTCAGAAAATCTCACTGGTGGCTGGATAACTTCATGAGATGTTATCTTGGTCTGCTTTACAGACTTCCAGCTTGAGAGCTTTGCTGTCCACGCTTCTTGGTGTTGTAACAAATGGCAACTTGGCCTGGAAGCTTTTTTTTTTTGTAAAGAAAAGAGAACTTCCCTGGTTCCAGGATTATTGGCTCAAAACAGGTCCCAAACCACAAGTACTTCAGTCATCAAGTGAGTCAGTATCCTCTGAGGATGCTATTAATAACAGGAAAGACAAAACACACAACCCTAATTTAGCACACATTTTGTTCTTACCAATGGTCAGCTTAGTCTTTTGATATTTGTTTTTATGCTAGCTTTCTACCGAGAAGGGATTCACCTATTTTTCTGAAAATAAGAGGAAACTTTCTCCCATCACTTCTAGCTAAAATCTAGACAAAAGTTGATTCACTAGCTTAGCCTTCAAAGCTGAACTGTCTACCCATTTTCAACTTGTAAAGTTTATTTTTCTCTGTTATCAGCAAAGGCTGCTCTAAATTTAACCATGCATTTTTATTTTTGGTGCAGACAAAAAAAAATCCTCCAGGTTTCCTGTCAGTCAGAAATGAAATTGAAGATTTCTGCTGTGTTAGCCAACTTTGACCTCATAATTTAGACTAGATCAGACTTCAGAGACGGGCTGCCAAGGGTAGCCCGTGGTAACTGTGTAACTCTGGTGACTCTGTCTGGGAGCAACACCATCATCCTGCTCACCCTCAGTGTGTTATATCCGACAGATTTTGCTTTAGATGATTTCCCTCCATCTCGCTTGATTCTGCTGGGATTTTCACATGAGTATGTCAGCCTTTGCTTCCTCCAGGGAAGAGGTTTCCATTTATTTTTGGAGTCTTTAGACTTAAAGTAGAATTTGTGCTGAATATAGAAGTAATAAGCTGTGTTACAGTTTCTAGAAGACTCTGGGAAGGTTTTGAGTAAAAACCTCTTGTAAAGATTCAGGAGTTTTCTAAAGGAAAAATTACTGATATTATAAATGGAGCACAAAACCCACATATACCACATTGTTGTATTCAAACTTCTGCCCACAAACACAAAGAAACTTTCCACTTGTGGAAATCTGAAGTGGTTAGAAAAAAAAGAAAAGAGAAAACGAGGTCATTAGTCACTAAATTCCACTGTAACTAGAATTCCACCTATTTCCAGCAACTGGGCAGTAAAACCATGAGGTTCTGGTAGTTCTGGCTGTGTGTCACCACAGGTGTCAACTGCTTTGAGAAAGAATTTGCAGAGTTCCAAATGCAAGTTATTTCCCAAATTCCCTTCTGAAAGTGTGTTGGAAGTAAGAGGCTCAATACTATCCCAGGGTTTAGTGGGTGATATTGGTGGCAGGGGAATGGTTGGACCAGATGATTTTGGAGGTCTTTTCCAAAGGTAATTGGTAACTCTATGATTTTTGAAAAATACTGATCTTGCAACCCTGTTTGTTACTCAAATGTTAACAATAGTGTTTATGGAATTGTTCTGTGCTTTATTTTCTATTTACAGATTACTGCTGCATCCTGTGCAAATCCTGTAATTCATTGAGTAAGAAAAGAATGAGCATTGCTACAGTTTTATGGGTGTTGGGGGAATGGTATACAGTAGAGCAATTGAGATAAGGATCAAGGGGAACAGAAGATATGCTGTCATGTGTGCTTTAAAGAGCCTGGAACTAAACATCACTATAATGTCTTTTCAGTCTATTAATTGTCATATGTTGCAAGTAAACACAAACATCAAATACCACTACAGACAGACCGCATGCCAAGAACGTAACCAGCATTGTGCTTGTTTCCCTAGCTTCCTCTAACATCTCAAGTTGAACTGTATAGTATCTGTGTACACAAAACAAAGGCTTTCCTATTTCTAAGTAGGGACACAAACTACCTCAACAGCCTTTGATTCTATTCTGGGACAGCAAGCTGATGTAGGCCAGGAATTTTGCTTTTGTTTGTACTAAAGGAATTGCAGGTTCATTCACTTGAATATGTCCAGTAAATAAGCAAACCTATAAAGTTATAATTCCACCAAGACCTAACTCTTCCTAAAATTGTTAATGAGTAAGATACTAGAGCAAAATTAATGTATTTGGGCAAAACTTTAAACTATCAAAATAGAAAGTATCACATTAGTGTAATTATAAGAAAAAAAAAAAAAAAAAAAAGTTTTGACCGGAAAAAAGTAAGGTTTATTAAGTTACAAAGATGTGTATGAAATGATACATTTCTGTATTATTAAATTTTTGTATTATTAAATTCAGTTTTTAACACACTTCATGAGAGCATCCTCTTCTAGGAAGTGTAGATTTGCAGCATTCTGTGTGTCTTAGTAAAATAGTGTGATTGACATTTAAGCATTCTCAGGGTTTGTGGGAAATTCTGTCTGCTTTAAAATTAATATTGTTTTCTACTGTGCTATGATGTGATTTCTCGATTTCAAATGCAGGAAGGAATGTAGGGTCAAGGGGAAGTATTTTACTTATTGTGGCAGATGCATGGAAAGAAACTTCTAACAGAAGAATGCTGATGGACAGTATTAATCATCCTACAGGCTGATAATATCTAAATATTCGAAAGGCATAAACTTTCCCTGAAGCACAAGGGACTGTGAAGACTGTTCCTCCTGGATCTTTGAAGGTGTGATCTGGTATGGGGAATAAATGCTAACAACAATGCAGAGCTCCCTTGTCTTTATACGCCCCTCTGTTGCAACAAAATTTGTTTGTGAGGTATTTATCTGAACCTGGTCAGAATCAAACTTTTTTTTTCTTTTTTTTTTTTTTTTTTTTTTTTTTCTCTCAAGACTCTTCTAAGAAAACAAAGTCAAAAACCCAAGCCAAAATAAAATGCTTGGATCAGTTTCCCTATCCCATTTGCTGCAGTGACCCATGGTGGCACAACGGCCACGCTACACAAGCAAATAGCGTCGAGGAATAGCAGCGTATCCACAGAGTGAAACATCATGCTGAGGACCCATTGTCCATCTTAAATGCATTCCAGGAGGCTGCATTTCAGACTAGCTCTAATCCAGCCCTATGTCCTGAACACCCTTTAGTTGGTGAGAGTGTTTCTGGAGCTGTTTTTTGCTTACTTGCATGCTCTGGGACTGCTCCCCAGTGCGAACCAAAGCATGAGAAATGGGAGAGACCTGATGCAGAGCTACAGTGCTAAGGTAGGCTTACCCTTTGCATGTATTACAGCTGAGGGAGTGATAAATGTTGGGGATACAGCATGGACATTGTTTAAATTAGTCTGACAACACAAGTGCAAAGGAAGCCTCTGATTTGTATTTGCTGACTGAACAGCTGCAGTGGTACAAGAGACGATTGGCCCTTGCTGTGGTTTGCTGCCTTTTTACTGAAGATTTTTCCTTTCATTGCACAGCCAGCGACAAGGAAAGTGTGGGTGTTCCTTGTTTGCCTCAGTAGAAATGAGGATGACCTAGTTTAAATTGCTGTAGGAAGTGTTTTGAAGCAACCTGGATTGCATGGCACTGAAACAGCAGAAGGTGCCCTCGTATGTCCCATTGCTGGGCTCTGCTCTGGTGATGGTAACCTTCAGAGAGGGGTGGCAATATTTCATGAGGGTCTAACTACTTGATAAATGAACTTGTGCATAAGCTGTGACTGAGGGGTTTGAATTTTAAGTTGCTTTAAACACACAGCTTTAAAGAGGCTTTCTGGGAGAAGGCAAGGAAGAAATATATTCACAAGCTGATTCAGAAGGAGATAAGAAAAACTTCAATTTCTTTTTATCCTTTATCCTTATGTTTTCCCACTCTCTTTATCCCTTAGATGATTCTAACCTTTTTGATACCTTTTTTCTGTCACTCCTGTTTTTCTCCCATCAGATGTTTCTATAGGATAAACCAATGCACTTGTACAATACAGCTTTCTCTGCTGGTATCTTCTGTAAAAACTCTTTTCCAAGCCAATACACAGAGTTGTGTTAAAATGAATAGACTACAAGAAAGATTATAAGAGAAGAGTTAAGAGAAGCTAGTAAGGAGGAAATGCAGCTGTGATCTTAAATGAGATGAAGGGTCTATGAGGCTAGGACACACAGGGGGGACAGAAGCTGAATGCAGGGAATAGCCAGTCACTAAGAGTGGTAATGTTACCTGATGGGCCCAGAAGGAATCAGGTCATCTCATCATCAGGTGAAGGACTGAGTGAAGTGGCAGGCTAAGTATCAAAAGCAGGTGAGAGGAAGGCTCTGAAAAGGCAACACCTGGGGGCTGAGTAGAATTCAGCAAACAGGTGAAAATATGGGGAGCTAGAAAGCTGTCTATCTTGCTATGTGTGTTATCACCTGTTAAACCGAGACATGGCTTGATGTCACTGGAAAAAACAAAGGTTGGATTCTGTGAAGTTGTATGTTAAAGTCTTGCAACAGAAGCCACTCCATTATATGGAAAGTAAAACTCAGAATCTCCCAGGTAGAGATGGTCATAAATTGTATTTAAAAAAAAATATATAAAAAGGGAGGGAGGGAGAAAGAAAGAGGGAGAGAGAGAGAGAAAAAAAATCATTGTGAGGATTAAATGCACTTAATGCCCCTTGCTAGACCCCAAGCTGTCAGGGGTCTGTCATATGTGTTGTCATATGGAAATCCAGCTCCATGAAAAGAGTTTTGGATTTGTGTATCCCAAACAGGGAATGAGCCTGTAGTTTTGGACATGTGGTCAGCCCAGCAGCACAGAAGTTATTGCATCCACAGTGCCTGTGATTGTTGTGGGACATTTCTACAGTTGCTATTTTTTTTTTCTCATCCAGAACTCCCCCAAAATACTCACACTGAAACTACAGCTAGGGGAATTAGGGTGTAAAAATGTCAAAGTGATGGAAGGAGCTGTTATGATCCAAAAGAAGGAGGGAGGTTGAAGAAGCCAGGAAAATGTCTCCCAGCTTTTTTTCTTCATTCCTGTTGGAAGCTTGTTTACACAAAAAGAAAATGTTGAAATTTCTTACTGTTACAGTAGCTATAAATGAAGCTGTTACAAAAATCCACCAGCTCTTACTCCTAGAGGTTAATAACTAAAGTTCATATGTGAACATGAATAATTAATTTGATCTATTGCTTGTCGCACTCAAGGGCTAGGCTCATCCTGGCAAGATGTAGTTCCACATAACAGGACCTAATGCTAAAATAGCTGGCATCTAATGGAGTTCACAACTGTGAGGCAGATCCTTAGCTCCCAGAACAGTGTGAGGAGAGAGCTGGCTTACTACAAACAGGATTCAGAAAAAGATGAAGGCTCTCTGGTCCAGTTGTTGGGCATTCATTTGAAGAGAAGCTATTTTGAAAACCAGGACTGGTGCCTGGGACTGGCTTTAAAACCTACGAACACATTTGTGAAGGAGTTCTGATGAACAAGAATGCATGGGATTTGTTTCTTTTTTTTTTTTTTTTCTCTGCACAGATCATGACAATTTTGGCTGGAACAATTTTTTATTTCACTGTATCCTTTGAGAGCTGTCAGGTAGCAAACCATGCTCTGTGCTAGCTGCCTGCATGTACATTGTCAGCCACTACAGAAGTATTGGCTTCTCCAATAACGCCTTGCCCTTGAACTCTGAGATTTTGTTGGATAATGTCAATGCCAAACATATTGCACACCATAAGTGAGTTAGCTGAAACCCAACTGCAGCTCACGAGGGCAATTGCAGCCCCAGAGAATAAATGTAAATAGTAATTAAAGTCCTTTTTTTGGATAAGTTTAAAGAAACAGGAATTCGTACCAGAAATAGAGATCAGATGCAAAGCCACTCTGAGTATGCCACAAACAAAGACCCTATGGGGAAAAATCTGAGAGCACATTTTGGAGACAGTACTGGATGAAATGAGGCCTTGAACTGGGAGCAAAGAAATGCACTACCTCTCTCTGGTGAGAAGAAAACTTTAATTTAGGCTTGTTTTAATTAACAAGACTGAATTAACCAGATCACCATTTAATTCTTTGACTGAAAACAATCTGCATGTCCCACAGAAGGGTGGCAGTGCTGCAGGGTGAGGTAAATAACTTACTTCCAGCCTAGCCCATAGGGAAAGGCAAGCTCCTCAAGAGTGTGATTCAGAGGGAATGCTTTTGTGCAATAAGCCTGTCAGGCATGAAAAAACTGAAATCTGCTCACTTCAATGATACCACTGTGGAAAAAAGGCAACTGTAAAAATAAGGTTAAAAAAAAAAGGCTATAAGGGGTTAAAAAGCTTTTTGGTATGAAGCTGACTTTGTGTTATGGTTGGGGCAACTCAACGAGTGCTTATTGAACAGGGAGTGGGACTTGTCAAATGCACAGAAATGGTCATTATGGACTGTAAGACACGATAAAGATGCTGGGCTTGCAACAGAACAACTTATCTGGTTGCATATACAGTTACTGTCATGGCCCCGAGGGCGCCACCATCCCAGGCCCTATAGCAGCCCCAGGGGACACCCCACGCTCCTCATGCCCAGACCCAGGGAGCCACCAGCCCTCGAAATGCTGTGGCAGCTAGCATAGATGAGAACAGGGGGAAAAGTTACTGTGAGAAATGGATGTCTGGAATTTGAACAAGCATGCTTGAAGTAGTGAATGAGTTAAGGGCTTGCTGGGATGTAATTATGTCTATGAACTTTATAATAAATGCAGGTACAATAAATCTTTTTTAAAAAGTCCTACAAATTTGGTTTGTGGAAATTCCCTGTGAAGAAACATGGCTCAGGTGAAGCCTATGATTTATAGGTAACTGAGCTGCAGTCAATACTTTGGTTTTGCCCCCAGAGCAGAAACTAAGAGAGCTGCATGTTACGGGAGATTTCCACTAGCTGATAGAGATAGGAGTGGTTGAAATCTCTTCTAGAAGTTTAGGGGTCTTACAAAAATTGTAGCTGCGAGGATTGCATGAGAGCAATGAGAGAAGGAGATTGTCTGTCTTTTGTAGGACATTTTGATCAAATATGGGGATTTCAGCAACTATTAGTAGAGAGAAAAATAGTCAGAAAAGCTGAGCGAAGATGCAAGCTGATCCATGTAGGACAGTGAATTTAAGTGAGGAGTACTGCAACAGGCTGGTAGACTGGCTGAGAGTAAAGCTGGCCCAGCAAATGACGAAATTGTACTGCATGGAGCCAAGGAGACACTGGTGGTGAGGGCCTGGTGAGCAGCCACCCCACGACTGACCACCAGCGTGAAGTGGAGAGCTCTTCACGGCCAGCAAGGAGGTGTCTCACCAGGGCGTAGAGCTGAGCCCTCCGTCCCTTCCTGGTCCTCGCTGGCTGAAAACTGAGCCCCCATGCATGTGAGCAGCTTCAAAAGGAAGTAATTTACCTTAGGCACACAATCAGTGAAGGAATTTCTGCCGATTAAATGAAAACTGGAGCAGTGCGGAACGGCCAAACCCTCAGATGTTCATAGACGTATGGAGTTTTCTACAGCGTATCTGTGGGGTTTTCCAAATTCCAAAACAATTGTATAAAATCAGTAAGAAACCAGTTTGGGGTCATTTTCAGCACTAGAAAAAGAAATGCTGTGTTTCAAAACCCCTTGCTTTCCTATGAAACACAGATACTAGTGCTTACAAACTGTGAGCAGGACGGATACAAAGAATAAGAAAGGAAATAGCTTGGTGGAGCGACAGCATAAACTGCTTGTCCCCTTCCCTTCTGCTCCCCAAATCCCTCTTCCAATATCCTTCCTGTTCAATCCTCTTTGCATTTGTTCTAAGAAAAATCTTAAGAGTTCTACAGTATTTGGTAATACATTCACGCCACAAGAGGATACTCATTCTTTCTGTGATATATTTTTAGGCTGCAAAAATCTGGTCCTATTCTATTGGTAATGGCTTCTTGTAATTTACTGCAATACTGGTTTAAAAAAACACAGGCTGCTCTTATTGGATGATAGATTTAAAATCCTCTGGAATTTCTGTGTTGTTTTTCTTTATAGACCTTAGTACGTGCAACACAGTAGTCAGACATGCGCGTTACATTCCAATAACGTGGTGTCAAACAAAGTACTCAATGAGAAGTCAAAGTAACTTGACAAAATAAATACTCCTGATCTGACTCAGCCTTCCCCAAATTAGGACTTGTCTGAGTGGGGAAGCTTTCTGGTGTAGCAATCATGGAAAAAAACTGTTCCCCTGGAGTAACATTGGGAGTGCAGTAGTTTGGAATAGAGTTGCAGAGCTTCCACAAAGGGATTTACACTATATTATCTACAGCGGAGCAACTACTTAGGCTAACTTCACAGAGTTGGTACTGTGTAGACAGTGAATTCATGTGCAGTCCTCTGCAAGCCGTGAGTCTGGAGCAGCTGTAGGAAGGCATGCACTGTGTACCTGGGTGAGGAGATGAGGGGGACTTGCAGTTAGTGTGTCCCCCCTGGGGGGCTGCGGGGCGTCTTTAAAACTTTACAAAGATGAGTCGCAGGCTCGTGATTACTTCTGGCGTCCAGGGCCGGTCTCCTGTGCCGCAGCTCACACGCTCCAGCTCCCAAAGCAGTGCTAGGACTCGCCCGAGAACAAAAGGCAGCTCTGCCTTGACTTTCTTCGCGGCTGGAACTTGCCGTTCCGCACAGCTCTTCCCGTAAACACAGATAAACGCTTCCACGCGTGCATCGTGCATCTGCCCCGCAGGAAGGCAGGCGAGCACAAAGCTCTCGGAGCCCAACTCCGCGGGGAGCGCCCTGCCCGGGGGTAGCCCAGCCCGCAGGTAGACGCTCCGCAACGGCGACCCAGCGCTGCCGGCCACTTCTGCCCGACGACGACGGCTTTCTGCACGGCCCCTTGTTTCAGGGGGGCGGCGGGGGGCACCCCTCAGGAGCCAGCACCTCGCGGTGGGGATGGGGATGGGGACGGGGGCGCGGCCGGTGCCAGCTCCGCCTCTGCCCCAGCGCCGCCGGGCCGGGAGCGGGGCAGGAGCGGGCGGCGGGAGCCTGCTTCCTCCTCCTCCTCCTCCTCCTCCTCCTCCTCCTCCGCTGCGGAGGGGGCGGGCGGACAAAGGCTGAGGGCTGCCGCCGGGCCGGGGCGCGATGGAGCGGCGCGGCGGCCGGGGCTGAGGCTGAGGCTGAGGCTAGGCTGGGCAGAGGCGGCTCGGTGGTGCTGAGCCGGGCCGGGGCACATGGTGCGCGGCTGGGGCACGGCGCTGCGCACCCGCGGGCGGGCCGAGGGGCCGCCATGGACAACTTCTTGGCGGAGGTGAGCGCGGGGCGCTGGGCTCTTCCTCCCCTCCTCCTTTTCCTCCTTCTCGTCCTCCTCCTCTCCTGCTGTGGGGTCGCTTTGTGGGACCGCTCACGGCCCCCGGGTGGTGGCGGTGGGGTCCCGGCTGTGCCGCGGGGTGGGCAGGGGGCTCCGTGGGGGCACGGCGGGCCGTCCTTTCGGGCTCCTCGGGAAGGGGTGCCGGGGACAGGAGAGCTGTGCCGGCGGAAAACGCCGGGGAAGGAGGACCTGGAGGGAGATGGAGCTTGCAGCTTGCCTCGTGGGTCCCGGCGGCTTCGTTGTGCCCGGCGAGGGGAGCACACCAAAGACGCTTTGCTGCTTGCTCGCGGCAAACGCCGAAAGTGGAAACTTGGGTCCTCTGCTGCGCTAAAGCAGCTGAATTTTGCACGGCGCTGTTTTAACGAGTCGTTACAACCTGCCCAGCGCCAGCACAGCCTTGTGAATAAAAGGTGTTCGCCACTACTGCGGCCACTTCTGCATGCGCGTAGCTTGCGACTCGATTGTGACTTCCAGTGATTGCGCCTTCACGATTATTTTAGTCACACCCCTTGCTGAAGTAGTTGTAGTGTCCAAATGTTAAGTGCAGGCCAGGCATCTGTTTGCCGGGGCGGCAATTAAGCTGCAAAACTGTCCCCTGCCCTTGTGAAACAGCTGCCTCGTGCTCTCTGTGCTGTTTATGGTCCCACAAGAAAAATAAAAATAAATAAAAGTGCTGTGTTTACCGGAATAGTAATTAGTCAAATAAAAGGAGCTCGTACACCTTGCTGCCTGTTACCTTTTCATTTGTCAGACAACAAAAGTTCTGCCAAGTGCAATAAGAAGGAAGAAATGCAGGATTAACTTTCAAGAAGCCTGAGTTAAGCAATAATGGATTTTTTTTCCCTGTAGAAGACGTTGCCCTCGTCTTTCAAAAGCTTGCAAGCCATGAGCAATGTGGTAGTATTAGCCGAGCCTTGCAAAATTAATCCGAGGAGTCATTCGCCCTGACACAAAGTATGGTAGCATGCCCTACATAAAGATGAAGAAGAGAGTTAATGGTTTTGACTCCCCTATTAGCCAAAATTACTTGCCCCAGGCAAAAAGCAAGTAAATTTTGCCCGTCTGTGTTAGTATTTCAGCATATATTTATGGTAATGTGTGGTTGCTGCATGCAAACTTTGATCTTTCTTAAGAACTCTTGCTCCCTTTCAACATGTTGATATTACTTTAAAAGATCAGTAAATATAGCACCTTGACTTTAATCTGCATCCAGAGCCCCACCTATAAGTATAAACATTTTCCTCTCCTCGCACTGGAGCGTATGGAAATTGCGTATGGAGAACATAACATACACAATAGCAGAAATGCAGTGGGCCTGACCCAGCTACCACAGAAAAACTGGTGTTGAAGGTGCTGGGTCGAGACACGAGCTGGCTAATTTAATTTGCGTGAGGCAGACATCCTGCAGCTGCTCTTTATGAAAATATTTACTGACTTATCTGAGCGAATTATTGTCCTTGTTAAAATAGGTTCTGGTGTATGCAAGGAAGAGGAAACTGGATGAAAGGGACAGGTATCAGGCCTGATCTGCCCTGCTTTTGCTTGACAGTGACATATGTCTGCTGATAATGTTACATTTTGGGAGAAAAGCTGCTAAGCGAGAAGGGCGTGTGCTAGCTTAAAGAGAATTAACCTGACACTTTATGGGGGATGTTGCTCAAGGTTACCAAGATGCCCCTGTTCAGTGCATTGGAGGCAGGGGTGTCTTCAAGTCTGGCTCTTGCAGAAAAACAACTAAAAGGCATTTCAGGAAAATACCCACTTTTGCCTCTTTTTTCTTCCATGTTTTTTCATAGCTAGATGCTGATTGTAACCTGCTCGCTGTATATTATGGCTCTCACTGAAACAAAATTAGACAGTTGTGTAAGACCTGGTTAAAGTGTATGTATGGGTGCGTTGCAGAGAAAGTGTTCTTGTTGGTACTTGCTGCGTTAACTGAGTTGTGGGATACCTCCAAGCTCGTGCCGCTCAGCTGACACCAGTCATACACAACTTAGCAGCTTTTTGACTTTTGAATCTTGCTGTCCTGTTTCCTCCCTCTACTATTTCTTATCTGTCTTTTATTCTTACAGGGTGACAAGTTGTTATATCTGTCTGCAGAGGAGCCTTGATTTACATTACTATCACAGTTTTTTTTAACTCTGTCACTTGAAAACAAAATAAACTGAAAGAATGCTTTTAGTAAATAATTAGGCTGGAAGAATCAGCCCTGGAACACACCTCCCAAAATGCTTTAATTGATGGAAGATATAAAAATAATTTTGCTGGAAGATATTAAAGTAATTATAAAGTTATACTTTAAATACAGAGGAGAAGCGGTTTTGGAGACTATTTAAAAACGTCTCAGGCTGCTGATTGATCTGCGCTAACTTCTGGTGTGTGAAAGGCCAATGTTGGAGTCTTAACCTCATTTGTATATTTACGTAGTCATATCTTCGGATATAAAGTATTAAAAACTGTAGAAATCCCAAAAATCCATAATAAGAATAAAAATATTAAAACTGTATGTGTGTGCAATAGAGCCATTTGGACATATTGCTCAAAGCAGACTGAAAAAGTTCCTGTGTTTAACCAGTGGCTAGATTGCTGTCTCCAAAGGTGGCTGAGATCAGGCTTCAGTTTTCAGTGGGAAATGTATTCTCATTAAAGAGGGTTGCATAGCAAGAGGTAAGGAGGAAAATCATCACCAGATGAGAAGGGACACAAAGAATTTTGCACAAAAAAGGCACAAGGGGGAAGTTTGAGGTGTCGTCTTGGCATCTGAGGTTCCCAGGCAGTGTGTGCCAGGGTAGCAGGGGAAGTGGATGAGTCAGGTCCATCCTCTTCTCATGCGGGGTGAAATCACCCTGCCCTGCTCATGCATCGTGTTTCATCAAGCCACCATCACTGTCCTCCTTGCAGGAGGAGCGTGGGTCACAGAATGGTTTGGGTTGGGAGGGACCTTAAAGCCCATCCAGTTCCAACCCCCTGCCATGGGCAGGGACACCTCCCACCAGACCAGGTCGCTCAAAGCCCCATCCAGCCTGGCCTTGAATGCCTCCAAGGATGGCCCTGTTGAGGTTGTGGAGCAGTTGAATCTGGGGAGGTCTTGTGAGACTCGGGGAGGTTGCCTTACCCAGAGCTGACCTCTGAGATGCCCTCAGCTCCAGAGGAGCTTGCAGGTACCCATGCACAAAGCAGTGGCTGCATGTGGTTGCTATTGGTGTGTCCACTGTGCTTTAGTTTTAGCAGTGCTGCTGGAACCTCCAGTTGAGGATGTTTTCCTTCCATTCCTCCACTCCACAGCTGAGTGTATTTGCCCACTACCCTGTTTTAAGGGGGAGGGCTCCCAGCATGTCCTGAAGGAGCAGGTGTTGAACCTCACTCTGCAGGAAGAATAAGGAGTAAGAATTCATTCTGAGGTTTTGAACGTAATTTCAGGGTCTGTCAGAGGTGGTATTGGCCAAGCCTGGGAGCTCTAAGTTTAGATAGGCAGCCCCAGGCAAGCTTCTCCTTGGTGCTCTGGTGCTGCGGCACGAGGAGGATTTACTGCTTCCCAAGGCAGGGCTGTTCATGGAAAGCATTGAGAGGTTTGCTGTGCCCTGCAACAGAACAGCCTCAATGCTGCAAAGTTTTTGGTTTTACAATGAAAATATGACGATGCTAATGGATTTTGGCATTGATATAAATGAGCTCTGGCTATGCTGTGCAGCATAATTTACAAGTTTAGGACAATCTCTGAAGTCTGCCAGTTTTCATTAGAGGTGTTTTGCTGATAGCACAAGCATGGGGCTGATGTTGGGCATGTAATATTGGTGTAGCTTACACCAGCTCTACTGCATTTTAGACTGGTGGGGCAAAAACATCACCCTGAAGCAATGGCTTGGCTCTGGCACTTACGAGTTCTTCAGAAACTTAATGTTTGTGCCAAGAAGGAGTTGTGCCTCTTTCAGCTCCTGCAATTGCTGTGTTTTCAGCAGTTTCTGAGGTGTGACTATGTCTTTTTTTTTTTTTTCTTGGAAAAAAAACACGTTGCTGATTGTTTTGTCAACAGTTACTTTTATGTTAATTAGAGGGCAATCTGTTTTGAGCAGAAAATGATTCAAGGGGGCTCAGGACTACCTTGCTGGCTCAGAAAGAAAAGAAAGTTTTTGTGGGTTTGTTTCTGTAAGTCAGGAAATCGTGTTCGGCTTATTGGTAGCACGTAATCTCGACTGCCTACTACATATATTTCACATGTGCCTTTCATAAGATATATTTGTACAACTGAAGCATAGTCATAACTGGGCTGGAGCCTAGCAGCCCTGCTGGCACCACGAATATTGTAAAATGACACAAGAATTCTCTTAAAGCTATAAAACACATAACTATTGAAATTAGCAATAGAAGCTGTATGTTGTACAGAAATAGCTTGTGGTTTTTAGGTATGTTCAGTCAGACTCCAGCTATAGGAGGGCTGTGAAAACCCCACCATTACAGAAAATTATGGCTTCTTCGGAGTCTTTTTTTTTAACCTTCTGGTGATACCTAATGGAAATGTTTACGCTTTTTTTAGTCTTTACCATAATTGTACGTTCATGTTAGCGTTTTGTGTGCAACCTATTTTTGCTCTAATCGGATCTTCCTCCTTATACGCATTTTTGCTCAGTGAGGTGGGCTTTTTGTGTGTGTGTGTTTTGCAAGGAAAATCTCTACAGC